GCAGCAGGAACTGCACTGGCTTTTTGAGTGCGTTTCCGTGCAATCTGAATGTTTGTGTTTTATGAGCTTTAATAGCTGTTTTTCAGCATAAATCAGCCTGGATGCATCACGTGTCCACTCCTATCCGTGGGATCATAAATCCCAACTTCCCTGGCGCCGCGGTAACAACAAGGGGAACAACAGAAACCCCTTTCAGGGGGTTGATGTGAGTGACAGCAGAGTCCTTGTCACAGTGCTTGGTAAGACACCGTGTTCCTGCCAATCAAGCTGTTGTAACACCGCTGGAGCAAACGGAGCCTTGGCGATTTCTCACAACCTGCTTTGTGGATGAGCTCTCTGTACACAGGGACACTCCTGGGACTGCAGCTGTCACAGCACACAGTTCCTAAAATGTTTGAGCTGAACCAATGATCTGGAGCACTGAAATTCTCTGGGGAGATCAAATGAGTGGTGAATCCTCCCTTTTGCTTAGATGTGTTTGGCATGAAGGGCTGCACAGGCAGTAGGGTACCATCAGTCACTGTGCATCTCAGCTGACAGGGCTGGAGAAGCTTCAGCAGCTCCATGGTTGACTTTCTGTCTTTATCTTGCTGTTTTAAGATTTAAACTCCATCTCTTGTTTGCCTTGGGGAGGTCACTGCTGTTCTCCCAGGAGTACTCCCAGGTTCAGCAGTCACTGCTGGGTTCCAGGACATAAACCATCATGTTTTACTGCATGTCAGAAAGCATTTTGTGCAATGCTGAGAGCTTCATGTGCCACAAACTCAAATGATTGCAGGTTTACAAAGATACTGCATTCTTGATAGGAAATGTCTATGATTTATTTAGAATTTAATCTCAACATCAGCACAATCAGCAAAATGTAAAACTTCTGCCTTTCTTTGTCTCATATAAATTCTTCATAACTACCCATCTAATCACTAATCCATCAAGATCTTTCTCTTACGTGCTGGGAACAACGAGCAATCTTGGTAATGTGGGAAGGGAATGGGTGTTGACATTATGAAGGTAATTTCAGTCGATGAAAAACAATATAGTTTTGAGAGGTAATAAAAAGGAAGGGCACGGAGAAGTTTAGCTAGAGATAGCTAGGAGATGGATTACGGGAAAACAAAACCCATGGTCATTAAAACAGTATCAGCTGTTCAGATTTCTTTTTACATCCTTTTCTTTTCTTTTTTCCTTTACATTTCTTTTTGCAGTGTTTGACTACTGGATGTCTAAATCACTTCAGAAGATATTAATAGGTAAAAGATAATAAAATAACCCAAATTGATTATGATCTTATACCGTTTACGATATAACTTTAAATGCAAATTGCGTTCAACTGCAAGAAGGGAAATGATGTCCCAAAGGCATTTCAATTAATTGCTGTAGTTAATTACACTCATAATTTTACTTGTGTGACTAATTATAATCAGGTTTTATCGGTGTATATGGATTTATTTCTGATGCTAAAAGCCCCAAACAGCAGGTTATTTTTAGGAAATACATTTAAACTTCATAATGGAAACTGCATGTTCCCATTCTCAGCAGTTGGCTGGAACGAGCTGTGTCTGTT